ATTGGGTCTCCATTCTGTATCTTCAACAGCCACAATTTTATATAATGATAATTGATGCATAGAAAAATATTCTGGAAGCCTACAAGACCCTAAAAGACCTCCTGATAAATCATCAAAGAAAGAATATATTATGCATACTTGTTCAATGTTACCTGCAATTTAATTAGAATGCAATTTTATGGTAATATTAATAATAACAGGGAGCATTTCTTGAAGGTGTATTCGGTGCTAAGGACATTGCTAACTGATTCAAAAGGGTCATCTCATTGAATTCTCACCACCCCTCTCTTGAGACAGCTGCCAATATTATTGCTCTTTACAGATGAAGAGATAGAGACTAGAGCCCATGGTTCCCCATTAGTAACCTTCATGTGCCCGGGCTATGGAAATTCGGGAGCAGTGGCTGCTGTGTTCCAGCGACCTTTGTGTTTTTTACAAGTCTATGAAGAAAGAAGAAAACCTGCCCCAATTGTAGTGGGTCACAATGGTAGAGACCTGGAAGAGGACGCTGCTCTGGGATTTTCAAACAAGGGGTCTTCTCTAAATGCAGCAAGAACACTGGGCAGGAGGAGCAGTGTGGGTTTCACACTAGGCACAACCACTTATTAGCTATATGAACGTGCACAAGTCAGCTAACTCCCCAAACATCAGTTTCTCCATCTGTAACCGGAATAACAATACCTTCCTTGTCAAAGTGGCACTACCTTCTTAGGAAGTCATGTGGCAATATGTAACAAGAGCCATAAAACATGCTATTCCTTGGTCTTTCTCCTAGGAAATTAACTCAACAAAAGGTATTCAATTTTAAAATAACCAAAAACAGAAACAAACAAATTCCCCCCCTCCTTTCTTCCTCTTACTACCACTACTCCCACGCGCGCGCACACACACGCACACGCTGGAAACAACCTAAATTTCCAACTTAGTTGAATAGTTTACTATGTTAGAGTAAATCAGTATGGGAGAATATTATACACCCATTAATTGTGACAACCACCTGTAAACATGGAGAATGTTGAAGATGTGATATTTAAATAGTATATACACTATTGCTGTAGCTATAGGAAATAAATACAGCGCATTGGAAAATTAATACACAAAAATGAAAACAACTATGCTTTGGAAAAGTGATTTTGTACTTATTTGTTCAAATATACCTTTAATCATGTTATATTACCTTTTAACTTTTCCAAAAAATTATGTGGTTACTGGGTCATGGTTCATTGGGATCACCTAATAAATATGTACAAAATTCCATACAAGGCACCAAGCTCAGCTATCCATCTAACAGTGGCTCCTGTCACCCAGTTGTGTAGCTGTCTGAATGGATGGAAGTCTTCTCAATGGAGCCACACAGATCTAAGGCACTGATTGACTGACGGTCCTCTTCTATAATGGTGTATTTGGTTTGCTGACTTACTTCTATAAGGAAGCAAACGACTGTGGTTTATTTTATTTTTTCTAGAGTTGGGTGCCTTGAATTAGTATATACATAATGTCCCCCCCTTGGAGATCCTCAAATTAATTTAAAATGTCTAATAAAGTACACCAAAGTACAAGTAAAGGTAAAACTGCTCTTGCCAAGGGCTAAAATAGCAATATCATATAGTAGCGTAGAGCCAGTTCAATTTCCTTTTTCTCCTTTTCTTGTAAGTGGTAAAATTGTGACACCAAGACCTCTACATCTTAGACCACGCACCCAAGGAAACAGAGGCCCAAAGAAGGTCTGCTCAGAAAAACCGAAAAAGTAAACTGGCTTAGGCCCTCCTACGGAGAAACTGTTCTACAAACTCTTGAAAAGCAGTGTCAGCAGTATCATCATTGCCACCAAGCCATCTCCCAGGAATGAAGGAGGGAAGATTTACCCCTTAAAAGAAAGAAAACACCAGCTCAGTTGGTTGGAGAGTCATACCATAAATCAAAAGGTCACTGGTTGGATTCCTGGTCCGGTCACAGTTCTAGATTCCAGGTTTGGTCCCGCCTCGGGTGCATACAAGAGGCAACCAATTGATGTTTTCTCTCACACTGATGTTTCTCTCCCTCTCTCTCCCCTTCCCTTCCTCTTTTTCTAAAAGCAATGAAAAAATGTCCTTGGGTGAGGTTAAAAAAAAAAGAAAGAAAAAAAAACACCGCAAGAAGGACTGGTACCACAGTAAATGTTTACCTGAGTCTCCCTACAGTGTCTGAGGGGACCGTGTCCAGGAGGCTTTTCCCTTACAAGTGTGCCTTCCGTGACTCAAGCTTTTATTCCTACTAAATGAAAAGAAATACTTCTGACTGGCGGGTGGGGAGTTTGGAGGGTAAGCAGGTGTTTGGATTCATCAAACATCAACAAGCATCAAGTACTGAAGTGAGTTTACTGGAACCTTTTGGAGAATTAGGTTTTGTTACCTGCTAGAACGAGGAGGCTAAGGTTTGTACCAAGGCACCACGAAACAAGTGGGATCTGTGCTCTGTTTTCACTATGGCCGTGATGAAACATTCTGCTTTTCCTAAAGTCACCTACGTGTCTATACTGATTTTTAACAATGTGACTACAGCTTTTCAGCATTTGTTTACTGCATGACTTTGTTTCAAGTCTCAACTGCAACCAGTTAAATAACTCTGGTTCTAAATTAGATATGTAAAAAAAAAAGAAAAAGAAAAAAGAAAGATGATCTTTATATTGGATCCTTGAGTCTACACTGAATCACTCCTCCGTCTAAAACCATTATCTGCATAAGACGCAAGAGAATCTCCAAACAGCTCCAACTCTTATAAACAGCACTGTTTTTAATCTGTTGCCTACAACATACCAATGAGAAAAATCATGGTATCGTGTCATAAACTGCTATGCAAATGATGCTATTTGTAAGTATTAACATAATTTAGTGCTTACAGTCATAATCTCATTTCTAATAATTCTCCCAGAATGGAGCTTTTCTCTGGACTCTTAGCCTGCAGGATAGTCTTTCATCAAGAAGCTGAAATTTTTAATAACCTGCCAGCATATGTTTTGTATGTGCCGGGCTAGGCTTGATGACACAACATCTTCATTATCAAAAGAAACAGGTCTACAAACTGTAATAGGACATGAAAACATGCCTGTGCTCATAAAGTAATGCTTTGATGTCTAAATGTGCACCATTATGATGGTCTTCTGGAAAAAAGGATAATTCTAATCCTAAATTCTCAATAGCTACACTCAATGGAGATTACAGCTCACTTCAACTCTGAATGCAATTTCACTTTGAAGGCAAAAGAATATCAATAGTTTCCTAACTCCCCCCACTCCCCCCACCAAAAACTCTTCAGTGCTGTTTTATTTATTTATTTTTTTAAAAATATTTTTGACTTCTTACCACACCATGGCTAAGCACAGGTCTCAGAGTGTAAAAAGATTTCTGAATAATAATTTTTGCCTTATTAAGTTAAAAATGATTTAGACAGATTATTAATTATTCAAGAATTTCACATTTAATTACATTAATAATGCTAAATGTGTTTGGTGACAAGTTAAAATGGTATAGTTTAAAATAATTGAAATTAAATAATGTGTAGTCAGGCTTCTATGTACAATTCAGCCAATGTGGATATTTTAAATATTTTTTAAACTTAAACATTTAAAATTTATTATAGTCTAGTTTAAAGAGAATTTAAGAAAAGTTATTGGTTTGAAATATTGAGAGCAGCAAATATTTTTCACACTAACATTTCAGTTTTTTAAATGAAAAAGTTATGTTTTCATCATTGACTCTCAACAGTTTTGCTTTAAAAAGAAATTTTTATACAATATGAAATAAAATCCAGTTCAAAAATAATACAAGAGAAACCTCTATGGGCCTCAAAATTAAATACATTTTCCTTGTTCTATTTTTTTTCTAGAAGAGTAATTCACTTTGGTATCCCTTAAATAATATGTAAAAAGCTGGCCATGACAGGTACTGCATTTAGTCCATTCACTGATGTAGGGGGAAGAAAAGCCCAGAATAGATCATGAGGAGAACAGTAACATTTGTCAAAGGGAACTCTCTCTTCTGACTGTTCTCTAGATTTATTCCTTGTTTCACTTTCACAAGAATAATGCGGTTCTCTCTTGCATGCCCCTCCCTTCCTATCACTTGTGTCTTGATTCATATGCTTCCAAATGTATGTAAAGTAGGATGGATTCTCAAAGGAGATGCAAATCACTGCACAGCCCACTGCTACACACATCATTAGGGAAGGAATCAGTGAAAGGAATTTTCCTCACCAGTAGGTCAGCCAAGACAGAGATTTGGGATTAAGGAAAGCTAGGCTAGTCTGGGCCTCTGGATGCAAAGTGAGGCGCTGTTAGAATGGTGGGTTTAATTTATATATTATGCCATATAAAATTAATTATTAAGCAAGTTTGGAACAGATTAAGAAGTTGTAAAATTCGTCCTTCCACCAATATACAATACATGGAAGATTCTATATACGTCCACTCATATGCTAAGACATTTTACCTATTGTTCAGCTTTGACCTGAAGATTTTCTGGCTAGGATCTATCACTTTCTCAACATCTCACAGGGACCAGCAGTTACAAATTTCCTTGAACTGTCTTCAGAAACACATGACTGCTGACAGAATGCTATTATACATTAGCTTCCAGGTGACAACCATTCACTAATAGAATTTCTCTCTCATAATAAAATACAGGCTAGCTTATTAATATCAGTTGTTAGAAGCATATGATCAAGACTCACTTGGAACAAATGATGAAACTTGTAATGTTACCTGAATATGGTAAAAAAACAAACAAACCTATTTTCTAATTATTATAATCAATTTGAAGACATGAATGAAGACTTTTAGGGCCCAATGAAGGGACATTTAAAATAACCTAACCAGCCCAATTGCTCAAGAAGGGCAAAATGATTTGCCTAAGGTCTCACTGCTGAGTCTTGAAGAAAGTGCCTTCATCTCCCAGTGAAGCCATTTGATTTGCTTCCTAACAATTCACAGGCACCATATATTTGTGTCACCAATGAATACTTACCTGTGCCCATTTCTTGTTCCAGTCTTCACGGCTATATCTACTGCTCTCCTTTAGGACCCACTGGTGGCACTTGAGGTGAGGAAGAATGTCACAAAACGCAGTCCCGTTTCCTCCGAACTCATAGTCCATTTTAAAGACCCAGCGTTGGATTCCCAGGTGATCAGTGACCAGCTGACTCAGCTGTTCTATCATCTGTGGGGACAAAGACACAGCAACATTTAATATAGCTGCTTTCCTGGATCCCTTTTTAGGGTGTTGTACTTCTCACAGCTGTATTTCGAATGGTCTGTTCATTTGGTTATCTTCTAGTTATTAAGACAGATTGGAAGAAGTTTTAAGTGATGTATATATGATGTGAAGAAACCACTAACCAATGGGAACAGAGGAACGTTTAAAAGTATAGTCTTACATATGAGAAACTCTGAAACTATCATTTGCCTGCTTTTAAAGGCAAAATAAAGAATCCTTGAATATCTGTAATTAAATCTTGGTATTGTTTCCTCTTTTTCAGAGAAGTATGTGTTTACTTACTGATTTAAGTGTTTTTTTTTGTTTTTGTTTTTGTTTTAGTTTCAACACTGTAAACTAAAGTTAAAGACTGCACTAACTCTTTATAGTCTTGAAAACTATTTGGTGCTTTGTTAAGTCTTTAAATGTTATAACCTATAAAACATTTAACTTTGTCCTCATTAACCTACTTGAATGCATTTGTTTGGTCAGTTGGCTGAGTGTATTATATAATGTGTATTACATGAACACAATAGATAAAGGCGATAAAACATTCATGGAAGCAACTTTCCTGGAATACAGACCTATCCCACATTTTATTTAAAACAGCATTTCCTCAAGAACTGGGCTCAGTCACACAGAAACTTAAGGGGTAAAAGTTCAAGCTCTGATATCATGATGATAATATCTAACATTTCTCTCAGTAGGAGCCAGGCCTTTGACTAAGCTCTTTACATGTGTTTTCTCATTAAGACTTAGAAAACCTAGAAGGTAGGCACCATTTTTAGTTCATTTCATATATAAATAATTGAGACTCAGCTAATTTGAATAACTTGCCCATGATCACACAGCACTGAGTAGCAGAGCAGAGACTCCACCCAGGTTGCTCTGACTCCAACACCTAAGCTTGCTCTCTCTGCACTGGGCTGCCGAGCCCAACCTGCAGAGAGGTGGAGGAGAAAGGTGGGGCGGAGAAAGAAGTTAGGAGAGAAGCAAGAGAAGCAACTTTCCTTACCGTCAGTAAGTCATTTGAGATTATAGCTCATACTGTTCTAGTAGAGCTGTGGAGAAAAATAGCTCATTAGATCACTAAATGATTTTTTTTTTCTGGTCTTCTCATCAGACTTTCCCATCCACACTTCCCAGAAAAAACAACAACAACAAAGCAATACTAAGCATTCCTCTGCTGAGCCTACCCACTGCTGTTCTTGGCTATAGTCTTCTGTGCTTAAGGAGGTCTCTGCAACACTCCAATTTTCTTCTCTTTGATGACTTTTTGCTCACCAAATAGATTTTTAATTTTTTTTCAACTAAAAAATGTGAAAGGACTCAAGATTATGGTTCTGCTGAGGTCAGGAGCTGGAAGATTACAATTATTTTGATTAAAGGCACAGTCTGTTCTCTTGAGTTGTTCTCTTTTCAGCAGATCTTCCTGGGGATGTTACACTACACAGCAGTGTGGAAGTGATATCAAAATGGGCATTCTTGGGATCCCTGGAAGCCCCATGCTACCATGGAGTATTCAATTAGGGCAAAATGAAATTGTCTTAGCTCCCTAATTATCAAGTTGTGTCTGTGGATAATTTGGGTGTTTAAATGACAAGTACTCTGGTCTATACACCATATGGCTACGAGCATAGCCTACAAAGGTTTTTTAATGTGCTTTCCAAAGTCACATCCCTTCTTTCTCTAGTATTGTGCAGAGAAGATAGATTCTATATTTCATCATATTTTCCTACATTATGGTCATACTTTACAAAAGTAGAAATGGCCTTTGGCATGTTAATATCCTATAAAATTCCTTTGGAAGTGTAAAGAAAGGTGTAATGGCATAGCATTTTTTATTGAATATTTGGATGTACTGTATCTTCAGAGATTCAACTACTAACAAAATTATCACCTGTTCCTTCCAAAGCCTATTATTTTTTGCTTCTGAGAATCCTATAAATGGGCGTCTGTTGATGGATCCCCTACAGTAATGAAAAGGATCAATAGTATTGTAAAGACTGCACCGCAGGAAAGAATTATGTGCTATCTTTAAGTGAAAATTGAACAGTGCTTTAAAATAGCATCGCCATTTTTTGCTTATTTAACCAAAGCTGTCAATATTTCATACAGAGCACATGCCAGAAAGAGAACTCGCACGTTTACTTTATGGATCAAAACAGGAAATGCTCATGGTGCTCATGCTAGACTTAACAGATAAATAAATAAATTACTTTATCATAAACCAAATGACTTTATGCTATTTCCAAACATTTATCATTTTCTGTTTGAGTCTATCCGTTCAAAAGATGTAATACAGTTTTAAATTGCCATTCATTTTACACTGGTATAGAACAGAGGTAGAAAAATGACTACTGCTAAAATCCAACTCATAGTCAGGGATATTTATTAACCTAAATTAAAATAATCACAGCTTTCCTTCACCAGCTTTAAGTTTATGATGCACATCGGTAAAAAGTCAGTACTATTGATTCATCACCATCTGCAAATTCAAAATGCTGACACATGCAGAGAGATTAGGTAGGATAGTCACTACCTGGAAAAATCTCAGTGGTGTACTTCAATTCTTGATGACCTCAGACATGCTTTCCAAACAAGTAAAATAGGACTCCATTATAACCCTGTTTATTGTGATGGAATTTCCATATGCCCACATACCGTAGATGAAATGACATCCCTCAAATCTAATGTTTCTACAAGGAGGTTTTAAATCCTACTTCTGAATACCAGAATTAGAGGAAGGTTTTACTGCATTAAATATACTTACATCTGTAACCACAATCAACATATAAAGTTCTACAATGTTTCATGGCAAAGATTGCCTGAGTTCTCATCAGTGAAGACAAAAGCAAGACTCAATATAAATATTGCACATACATTTTAATATAATGTATTGTACATGTGTGAAAATTACTTAATGTAATACACGAGTGAAATTGTATCATTTAAAAATGCATTTCACTTGTATGAAGTCTGTCAGTCAAGTATTCTACTGGGAGGCAGAGTTAAGCACTTTGTCATCTTCAGATTCTAGTGGAGGCTAATGACAAGGGACACAACAGTTCAGGGGGAGCCTTTTTTCTACTCCTATTAAAATTGCCTGTGTCTTTTCCAGACCCTGTGACCTTTAAGAGCAACTTCCTTTATGAACCCACATATTGCCCAAGGACACTCTTGCAAGATAGAAACATTTTAGGGCAATGTAATAAGCTAATAATATCTTTAAACCAGTCTTTGAAAAGTATGACTTATTGAAAGGCTTGATTTTGGGGCTCAGCAGATGTGAAGTGCACAGCATCATGATCAGGCAACTAAGAGAAGGAGGAGGAACCCTAAATATTGTCCCTCACAAAGTGCCTTGCTGTGCATGGTGTTTTAGTTTCTCAAGAAGCAGTTGCCTGGGATCAGTTTTGATCGGCTCAGAGTCATGGTCAGGGGGTGGAATGAAATAAAGGTCAGGATATTTTAACAGCCATTTATCTTTTTATTTCCTTTATTGTGACAAAGGATAGCAGTTAAATGGGAGAACACCAGCCAGAGTTAACTCAGAGATATTTCTAGTGGCTAATATTTTTTGTCTCTGAATAGTTTGGGCCCTAACTATTGACTGGAGGAGTATATAGCTACAGACCTAGCCCAGGACAAAGCCCAGAAGCAGTGTTATTCCTGGAGCCGTTTTACCTCCCCCTTCTTTTCCCCCTCCTCCCTTTGTGGCTCCTTCCTGAGGAACCAAAGGGGTTTTATATGAGTGGAGGATCTCTGCAGCCCTCTGCAATCGGCCCTCTGCAACCTTGTTTGGCAGAAAGGCTCACTCCCTGGAGCTCTCCAAACCCACGCCTTTTAGCCAAGAGTCTTTCACATTTCTCAGGGTCCTGCTCAACGACCCGCTAGCTAAAATGACGATGGATTAACTAATCCATGATGTGGCAATACATATTGATAGAAGATTGGTACATTAACAGCATCTTCAATGTCTTAATCCAAATGAATAAATATTTTGGGAATTCCAGCAATTTCTGCAAGGACAATACTTTTCACCAGGAAGGCCTAAAGTAGATTCCAACAAATCAACCCAAGTATTCCACATAGTCCTTACTGGGCAGGGCTGGCTCCAGGAGACCTGGTGTCCCCGCAAGGTCAAGGGGGTGTGCTACGTTTGAACAGAGCCTCTCTTGTCCACCCCACATACCTGCTGGTGACCATAGATGTCACATATTCCAGGAGGGACTGGCACATTAGCACTGGCAAAGACCCGCTTACTTCCAGACTTGGTGCTATAAAGGTGAGCTACTTCAGGCTCTGGGCCCAGGATGGGTATGTCTAACATGTCCGCCACAGCCAAATCATCTCTGTGGGGGAGGCCGCTGACGATGTAGGCATCTTTTCCTCGGATGAGATTTTTTATTCTTTTGATTGCCTTGGGACTATACTTCAGGTGAGTGGCCAGGCACATATGATGCTTCTGGGGGAAGAGCATATTATTCTTGTTAAAAGATGTTCTTTTTCTGGTCCATACACCTAATTTATAATGTTGCACACAATAAATGCATTATTAATAGCAGTCTGGGTTATGACCTATCCTGTTGTTTAGCAGTTTAAATTGATAAAAGCTGTTGGGGTGAGGCTCTATAATCGCTCACATCTTTAGCGTGTTGGAAATAGGCTCACTGGGAATAGAACTAATTACTACACATCTGTATTTATTTGATCCACGTGGAATTATCCTTCTGTCAGAAGGAAAAGAGGCTGGCGGCCTTTGGATAATAGTGATTCATCTCTGCAACACTTCTGGCATGGTTTAACACTAAAGCGTCTGGAAAATCAATACAAAAAATGAAGAAAAATGCCTCATAGTATTCTTCACTGTACAGGACCCCTAATCTGGCAACTCTTTAAATGATTCGGTAGGAAAAAGGCAGTTGGCTTGATGCTCTCTTTCCAAAGTTCTGCTTCAGAGAATATGTACTTTTATAGTGATTATCATGGTTCTTGGCCAACAACTCTGGAGAGGATTCATAAAAAAAAAATATTTGAAAATTTTAGCAAGACCCAAGCTCATTTTCCAGTGGAAAACTCTCTTACTTTTGATTATTTAGACCCAGCTCAGCAATACATGTGACTGTCTCATTCAATTAAATAAATAATTCTGGCATGCCTAATAGAGGCTGAGGACCAAGCCAGATGGTCATCACACACCAAAATGAATACAACCATGTTTCTGCATGCAAGGAGTGGGGACACAAATGTGTGCCGTTAATGAATAACTAATACAAAGCAGAGGAAGGCTGTAAAGAGCTACAGAAGGCCTCAGAGGCTTGGAGAAGGGAGGCAGAAGCCACATGCTGATTGGGAGAGCTGAAAGGGCAAATTACTCATCCTCCTTGGGCCTCAGTTTCCTCACCTGCAAAATGAGTATAATGCTAGTACTCATAGGGATGCTGTGAGGGTTAAATGAGATAATGCATGCAAAGCAACTGGCACAGGGCCTTGAACATAATAAGCACTTAATAAATATTAGCTACTATTATTATGTAAAAGAGGTTGGGGTTGAGGGGAATTTTGAAGGATGGGTAGGGTTTTAGCAGGTAAGGATGGATGTGGGGAAGACGTTAACCAAGGATGAACTATGAGAAGCCACGATCATGCTCACTTCCTCTAGAGAAGGGCTGGGGTTGGGAGTCAAACAGTTCTGGCTTTGAATCCAGCTCTACAACCTATAAGCCACCTGAACTTGGGCAAGTAACCTAGACTCCCTGAGCCTATGTTTCTCCATCTGTTAAATGGGAATAAAAATACCCATTTGCTGGGTTGCTCTAAGGATAAAACAAGACCATGAATGTAAACACCTATTATAATTCATGGCACTGAGTTGCTGTTCAATAAATGATAGCACTTATTATTACAGAGAGAACTCTCTTTTTAAAGACATTAGAATGTCATGTAAATAATATAAGGCAAGATGCCAGCCTCTTAGGGAGTTCAAGGGATGTTGTAGACTAGCAACTACTTCCCCAATTCTAGTCAAAATTATCTACTCCACATGGCATGAAAATGTGGAGAAATGCCGAGCAGCTATTTCTGGGACTATCAGTGTCACCAGTGTGCAAACTTCTGGTGGGTATAATAACTGCTGAGTATCATAGAAAGAGGCTGAGGAGAGCCATGGGATTTTAGTCCTGCCTGAATCTGTAACTTGCAAGGTGATTTAGAAATCTCAACCTTTCTGAGCCACAGTCTACCGTATTCAAGTGAATGGTTGGACTAGACATTTTGAGGGTCCTTCCAGCTCTCAAATAACTTTTCCTTTAAAACCAGAGCTCTTCTATACTTATTGTTGAATGGGTATGGAGTTTCTTCTTGGAATGTTGAAAAAGTATTGAAAATGGATAATGTAATGGTTGCCCAACAATGTGAGTGTGCTTAATGCCACTAAACTGGACACTTAAAACAGTTACAATGGTAAATTTTATGTTATGTATACTTTATCCCTTCTCCTCCCCTCCAAAAAAAAAACCCCCAGAGCTCCTCTGAGAAGAGAATTTATTGCTGTACCCCCTATTGGGCCCTTCCTCCAGAGTAGGTGCTCTATTCTAAGCTCCTTTGATCTATGCAATATGCCTTTTCTACCATAATTGAAATCCATTTTCACAACCTACTTCCAAGAATGCAGTTCTAGGAAACCCAGTGTTCCATTAGACGATGGCTGGTAACAACACCTTCTCAGTCTGTGTTTCCTGTCTGGTTGATCACTGTCTCCCTTGTTTCTTTTATTCCTTTCCTTTCCCCACAAATAATTCCAATTGGAAAATGTAAAACTAGTAAATATCTGGGAGAAGTGGTGACTTGAGTCACGGTGTACATGGTGGGCTTTTCACGGTACCTGGAACTGTGCTTCAAGGTGGCAATCCTCTCATGTTAAGTTCACAAGGTCAAAGCATTTTGACATGTATTTTCTCATCTGAGCAATACCGCTCCGCGCCAATTCACATCTCCTCTTTTGGAGATGAGGAAACTGAGGCTCAAGTGATTTGCCGAAATTCACACAGCCAGTTAACAGCAGAAGTCAGATTTAAAACCAGGAGTTAGCACAGTTGTCACGCCTCAGCTACCACAGTCTCTCCCATTTTTCAGGTTGAAAAGTGAAGGCTTCTACCTTTCTGAAGTGTGATGAAGGGTGAGCAGATGCAGCAATAGATGTAACGTCAAAGTTCTGAGCACTTCTCCAACCAGGGTGAATTTCTATCTCCTCTTGGTTTGCTTACTTCTTTTGGCAAGTACTCTACCTGACTCTACCTGACTTACAGTCATCTGTGGGATTGCCTTATTCTTCAGGCAAGATGGTACACTAATATTGTGTTCAGTACATGTTTATAAAGATTTGAATATGAGTGAGTGGCAGAGGACACAGTACTGACTGCAGGTCTTGTATGACCATTTAGAGAAAATAAGTATCATTAGATCCAGGCAATGGATTACACGGCAGACAAAAATCTAAAATGGTCCTAATTCGATAGCATTATAACTGCATTTAATTTATCACCACTATTTTTTTTTGACCTGAGACAAAAGGTAGTTGTTTGGGATGTCTTTATAAACATTAAAATGTTTAAAAATAGACAAGATGACCTTATAATAGCACCTTTACCCAAATCCAAATATTGTATAGTGCCTTGGAGATTTGGGGGATGCTTTTAAAAAAATCTCCTCAAAGTCATCCATTTGAATGAAAATCAGCAATGATACAATCTCTTCAACCCATTACAAAGAAATAAAGCAATAACTAAACATGAGCAGGAGCTGATTTGAAAGTGAGAGTTTAATTTCTGTATTCTAAAAAGTTGATTGCCTATGAGTGATTACTCAAATAATTTAAACTCAAACTATGAGAAGTATTAAAATGGACTTAAAATATTCCCTAGCTGTTTCTACTCACAATGATGCAAACCTGAATTACAAATAAAATGCAGTGCACCTGTGAGTGCCAACTGCCTCTCTCCTGCTTGAAAGTTGGAGTGGGCTGGCAAGGGTACAGTTCTCAGGTAATAGGATTATAGAGCTGGGAAGGACTTTGACATGATAACCCACCCTCTCATTTTATAGATGAAGAACAAAGAACAGGGAGGTAAAGGGCTTGCCCAAGGCAACAAAGTTGTCAGGAGCGAAGCTGTCATTCCAACTCCTGATAGTGTTCTGGGGTCAGACAGAGTTTTGTTCATACTCTGATCCCACTAGTAACTTTGGAATAGAAAAATGAGCCTCGGGTTCCTCGCCCATACAAAGAGATTGGTCGTTTCTGTCTTGCTGCATTGTTCTGATAATGAAATGATAAAATATATGTAAGCATTTGATACAGGTTAAGTTCACTCACTTTCCTTCTCCCAAACTACTGCCCCTTCCCATTCTATGCCTCTTTAATGTACATGGGCATTTAAAATGTGCAGAAACTCTTTATCATCAGCTATCAGGAAAAAAATCAAGAAATTACACACAATAACAGTTTTTTCTTCCTTGCTTTCTAATGTCCACAGTAACTCTGCCATTGGGGCCAGGGCATGACTAGCAAGCACAAAGCAATGCTTGCATCGGTTGTGGATACTGGGAGGTTCCTAAGACTATAAGTATGTGGTGATGATTTGTCCTTCTGTCTTTTCTTTTGCTTGTCCCATCCTGGCTTTTGCCTTGCTCTTCCACAGCCCAGGGGTGCAAATGAAACAGAGAGCTTTGTGGGGAACATTAAGGTATCCAGTTATTTAAAAAAATAAAATCTTCGTCTCAGTAGAAGAGAGCACAATCTGATGACAATTCATTGAGTACATCAGCAAAGTAGAAAGGCTATAGTAATCCTCTCCAGCCTGGGCCGGCCTTTCTTGGTAGGAGGGGTCAAAATCATGGTGCATCAAAGACGTTAATGGGTAGTAACTCAACACATAGATATTTCCTACATAAAGCATGCAATCAGTTTCTCTGGCAGTAGGTAGCGGGTTGACTTTGGTGTATCCTGCTTGTGAATGGAGAGCTATCTTTACTAGCAAATTCAGATTCTTGATTGTACCAAAAAAAAAGTCTCCACAAAATTGCATAGTTCATTAGGTATTAAAATGTTGGTTGAACATGGAAAATTTAAATTCTTGTTAAAATATAGAGGAGTTCAAGTCACCTCCTGCACTGCCTTATTCTAGACACTGTCCTCGTAGTGCCATGAATTTCTGAAAAGCTCTTGTCTAGGGATGGAATTTCACTCAGAATTCTTTCCGTTCATTAAAAATCAGTACAAGTTATGAAAAAAACAATCTGAACCTTGTTCATTGTGAACCAAGTGATGTGGTAAATAAGACCAAATTCCCCTGAGGGGGTGGAAACAGAAGGAATACTAGTATGGAAATCAGAAAACACCTAACTAGCTTTGTGAGCATGGGCAGGCCCAACCTTTCTCTGCCTTGTTGTCCTCCGCACAAAATGAAAATGGAACCGTAGATGTTATAAATTCACCTACTTGGTGGTACCAGCCAATAACCTCCGGCTTCAGCTACAGAGAAACTGGGGAGGGGTAGCTCAACTAAGTCTGAAAGTTAAATTGGGGTATTTATTTCCTACAGTCCAACTAGTAGTATAATCAGTAAAGCTGTTATACTTGCAATAATATTTCACTGATGTGTACCAGAGCGTTGCAAGTTATAAAATTTCCAATTTAATTTTACTGCATCCCTGAAGCTGTAGTAATTAGAAGACAAACTCACAGTGAAGATCTTTATAGCTTCAGGGGTGATGATTTTGAACCTGTCCTGCAGGTCACTTCTGTCCTCAAGGTTTCCTGATTTGACAGCTGCCTGTAGACTCAGGATTTTATTGTAATACAGCAGTAACTCATCATTCATTTGATGGGAGCAGATGTAGATGACGCTCACATTGTCATCTAAAAACAACAGGCACAATGTTAATTACTGGTACCAAGGTAAATGACATTATAAACTCTGGCATTGGATTGATGTAGCACAGTTTAAAATAAAGAACATATCCAAAAGTCACATTGATGTTAATTTAGATAGGTTTTGTACATATCTTAGCAATGTAACTGGCTTTGAGTCACTAGCATTTCTTTAAAGAAAAGATAAATGCGTGTAACACTACCACCAAAAAAATGGACACAATGATTCCTTCAGAAGGAGGGCCGTGAGGGGCCATGGAAGTGTCCTTTCAAGTAATACATAGGGAATCAGCCCCAGAGCTCCCATTAACATCAGTGGGAATTGCATCCTGCTTTAAAAATTTATCTCATTAACATCAGTAAATTATGAAACAGAGCTATTAACTTTAGAAATCTGATGAAATGGCAATTTCTTATTCTGCCTAGACTTGGCAGGGCCAATTCAGGGAACGTCCTGTCCAGATAAATGGTATTATTATGACCACAGCAATGGTTATTTCAGGAAACCAATGTTTTCCCTGCTCTACTCCCAAGGAGGAGTAGATTAGTTATATAAGACATCTAGTGATTCTTGGTTTAAAGGAAACACTGTCTTCATATAAGTGTTTTCTTTCTTAAGAAGTGCCTCCTATTATGTACCTAGCAAGAAATTCTAATTAGATATCCCAGCCAAATGGAATTGTGAGATGAGATTACTCACTCCAGGCTGCAAAATATGTTAAGGACAGGAAATCAGCAGCCAATGAAGTCATTCATTCATTCATTCATTTGTTAGTTCATTCATAAAATAACTGATAGTAGGGGCAAAGAACTCAACAAGACATAGAAGAATATACAGGAATCAAAGCAACTGAGATGCTGCCTGTGAGGAGCATCCATTTCGCGTGCACTAACAGCCATAACACATGGTAGGGAGTAGTGAGCACAAGGAAGTACGCTGGCCATGTGCTTAGGGAAGTTCAGAGGAGGGAGCACTGTAAATATTTCCTTGGTCAGGCAGGGCTGAGAGGGGATTTGAAGACTCCTCTGTTTGGTTTGGCAGAGTATACAGAGCATAGATTGATTAAATTCTAGCTCAGCTGCCTAGGTATGTTATTTAACCTTTGTAAGCTTTGGTTTCTTCATTTGTTAAATGAGGGATAAAATCACTTGGGGCAGGGCACAGTTTTAGGGACTATTAAATGAAAGAATACATTATATATCTATATTTCTAAATGGGGTGGGCAAAAGTAGGTCTAGAGTTTGTATGGAAAAAGACGTGGAGGTTATGATTATTACAATAACTTTATTAACTCTGTTTTGCATACTCACAACTGTATACATAATTTGCCAACCCCTGTGTCTGGCACATAGTAGGTACTCAACAAACAGTACAAATGCATGAATCTCCTCTGTGGCTTACACTGCCTCTGCCAGCCAACGGTTATTCCCCACGCCGCCCTCCGCACCTGTACTCCTTTCATCCATTCAGCGCCTCAAGATTTAACACAATGGAGTTGTGCTCTTTGCTGTCCTGTCTTACTCATCTTGTCTTTCCAAACTCCTAAAAGATAAGGTGTACACCTTTTCTTATATTCCCCCAAGCCCTGGAACAGTGTGGAATATGCAGGAGGCACTCACTAAATACTTGTGGGTTGACTGAAGGGATCTGGGAGAATGGAGAGATTTAGGAAGTAGAAAGTCTTACACCATTAGTGAGCCCCACGGCACACAGGAGAGCTCTCCCCCCCTAGAGACAGCATCTGTGGCTAAAAGCAATGTCTTCTGGATGGACCTCATGCTGGGTCCACTGTAGGTGCACCATAAATGTAAATATGTAAGTGGCTCCTATTTAATTTTGGAACCGAAATGCCACATAAATCTCAAAATAAATTAACTTAAGAGGCAGTGGGTAAAAAACCTGTATCCAATTGCTGAATGATCCAATTACTTATCCCAAATCTTGTCTTGTCAAGAAGAGACTTCACCAAACTAGTGGTTTCCAAAACCAAGCTAGTATTTTTTTTTAAGCATTAAATAAGGACACAAAAACAAATTAAAATAACTTAAAGACTCCACAAAAGAAAAATTTTTTCTCAGGAAGAAATTTCTACGTTTCAAGTAATAACAAATCATATTGCTAATTTCACCTTTCCTGTTCGCTTCTGGCAAAGGAATACATATCACAAACACTATATCCAGTATTAGCGTGGGCTTGACTGTGAATCTATACATGTTCAAAATTGACAGGTAATTTGGGAAAGGAATTAATATGAAAATGAAGATTGCTTTGATTGCTAAGCAATAGTCAATGCCAATCGCTCTCCTTCTTAACTCTTCTAGGAATTGAAAATACTAGCCATTGGGTTTTCACCTGACATCCTGACTTCTTGGCCAATACATGAATGACAAGTCTTACCAACACCATCTAAACAGAATAAATCAACACTTTTTACTAGGAATTAATGGAATTTAAAAAAAGATAACCATGTAAAATACAGCATAAGGAATACAGTCAATATTGTTGTAATAAATATGTATGATGTCAGATGGGTACTGGAATTATCAGGGTGATCATTCCCTAAGGTATATAAATGTCTAATTACTGGGCTGTACACCGGAGACTATTATAAAGGTAAACTTAAAAAGAGAATCATTTATTCTTCCACAAAATTATTACTAATTTTCCTATTTTTTTAATTTCTCAAGCAAGTAGTGTTTCTATCTTCTAACTTCTATTTCTAAACTTTCATTACTCCTCTTGAGAGGCTTAAGGATTGTCTTGTTGTGTCATGCGGATGGTGTACCAAGAAGAGGCATTTGGTTCCTAATCTCAGAAATGTTCACATTAGCAATATTTTCCATTGCAGGTAGACCTAGACTGAATTGTTGAATTATTTAAAATAGAAGCCTAATACTTTCAAGTCTTTTCTAAAAATGAGAATCTTTTATAAAGAAATTCTTTGGCAATAGTTTGTACTATATATAGAGGGAGTATAAAAAGCTAAGAAAAGAATTAATTCAAATAAATTAGAGCAAAGTCTGCCCTCTGCTGCACTTGAGTGGTTTCCACCCAGTCAGGTTTTTAGTTGAAATAGCTCAGCACTAACAAATCAATCTCAAGTCATTACATTTTTTTTTTGTAATGCTGAAAATCAGTATTAGTGCCTAGATAATAGATTAAAGCAATTACATTATTATTATTTTAGGACACTGTAAATTTCTAGTACTAATGTACTTTTGTTACCAAATGGCATTTATAAAATAATAATGATGCTGAAATATAGGTGAATCATGTAAAGTATGTCATTCTGGAGAGCCAGCTAAGTTGGTCATTGATCATTTAAAATTCTTCTTTGTTTTGCTTAAGTAAGGGCCAAAGCAATTATATTTTAATTTCTTACAGGGTAGCTAATAAAAGCCTAGGTTTTGTTTAACCCAAGTTTTGGCTAGTATATCCCAAACTGGTTCAGTATTATTGTTTAGCCTTTGCAACCTTTATCCTTTAAGCCTAACCGGGACTCTAGCTTCAAACGGTGTCAGCCAAAGCCATCAAATTCTTGTGTCCTTTGCTCCTGGCTCCAGGTGGTGTCTGATTTAGAACTGACCAAACCAGTATTGGAACTTAACTAAAGACAAAAATGTATCTATCACTCAAGGTTTGTATTTTTAAGAATTTTCTCCGCTAGGCACCTCCTGTTATTTAATAACTAGATGCTATATATTTAAATAAAGTCGTCCTCATTTCTATCTTCATTTCCTTCTTATTCTTATAATTAAGGCACAATGCTTTTAATTTCTGATACTACCTTCACTCATTCAGCAGATAATATACAGGGTCCGGCAGAAGTAATGCCTAGTGTGGCTGGAAGGGTAATAATATGGGTGTAATAATTTATAGCTTTAATTTGAACATTTCACCTAAAATCCCATGTGGTGTGCTTGAATGTGATATTGTTATGTACAGAATTACATGCTTATGATTTTGTAATAAAAGATTTTATAATAAAAAGGGGTGTTATTTGTGCCGGACCTGTACAATATTGATGCAAAAATGTTGACTTCATTCACTGCAAGATTTGGTAAGTGAAGAAGTTTGGAACTATAAGAAAGAAATTCTTATCCAAACCTTCAGCAAAGAGAATTTAAAGAACTATTCAAGTAAATTGGTTAAAGACGTTATTTTAAAGTTCAAGTTGACTTCACTATAAACCTATTTTTTAAAACAAAACATTCAATTGCTCTGCAAGTAAATTAGAAATCCAAGTCGAGAGAGAGAGAGAGAGAGAGAGAGAGAGAGAGAGATAGAGAGAGACTAAATAAACATTTTTTATCAATATCTCCTGATAAACATTCCAAAGAATCATTTGTGTAAAAGTATTTACTGTACCTAAGATGTCACACAGCCGTCCCAGCTGCATGTTCTGCTGTGTGTTGAAGTCAGCAATATTTTGTCGCACAGGCTGGGAATATCCTAAAAGGCAAACAAGGGGTCAAAACCTAGAGAGAGCAAGTCAGTGTATGGCAAAATGGCACACTAGGATTTCAAAGTGTCACAGTTCACATTTCCAGGAAAGAATGTTCTCTGGCGCATCTTGCAGAAACAACCTCACTCCTGAGAGTGAGGTCCTTGCCTCTCAGGGGACTAAACGTTATTCCGGAAGATGTGCTGAGCAGCATTTTCTGCGAGAGAGAGAGAGGTTCCTATTTTTCAATACCAACAAAGCTGTTGGGAATCAGGGTTATAAAAACCTGATTTTCTGACATTTTCTGACAGAGATTTTCTGACATTTAACGTGAATGTTCAGAAGAGCATGTAAGAAAATTATGCCTTTTAAAAGAAAAGATTTTGGCTTTTTTAAATTACGCTTCTGTGATCATTCTAAACTGACAAAGATTTCAGACAAACCCCTTGATGCCAGAAATATGTATTGAAGTGATTCTAAATACTAAAGAAATATGCTTTCTGCTCACACAGTCACAAGGACTTTTAACCTTTGAAGGGCAATAAAGGTTATTGCGGTCAGCGCAGTATTTTATCAGCACTAATGCAAGTTCTGCCAGTCGCCTTCGTGTCCAGGGGAAACAGAGCAGGAGGAAAACACATGTGGATTACTCTTTTCCAAAATCCTTCCACAGAAAAAAACAGCAACACTTCCTGCTGATATTTCAGGGGTTAAAAATATGTAAGTGAATGAAAACATGGATTTAAAAGCCATGCATACTCACAAGTAAGTATAATTGCTTATATCAAATTCAGCAACTGTAGGTGCAACTTTTTTAAAAAATAAAATTGCTTTTCACATTTTGAAGAGATGCTTCAATGCCTCCTTGTGGTTAGTGAGCCCAAACACATGTTTCAAGTTAAACTGCTATAGATAAAGTGATTTTAAATACTGAGTCTTTGAGATGTGACACAGATTTCCTTTTCAGCATAAGGAAAACTATAGCAATTCAGGCAAGAGGGTTTCAGATCAAATGAACTCTGATAATTGGCTCTTTGCTTTGATGTCAGTGTTTAAACACTAGACAACGTCTGGAAATTAAATGAGTTTACAATTCATCTGAAAGTCTCCTTTTGGCTTTAAGCAGATGAACTTAAGTAAAGAGACAGAAGGACAAATGGGTTGTTTGAATTATTTCTGAAAAATTATTAAATTCTAAAATAATTTGGGAAAGACTCCACAGAAGATTTGAATTAATATAGACAGCTACAAACAATGCGGTTTTGGTGTATGGTTGCAATATCGTAACTTGGGATTTTGCTTACATATAATTCTATCTATATTCTGATAAATGTTTAGGAAGAGGTATTTTGAATAACTTACGTATCAAGAGTATAAGAAGGCAGGAAAAATGCCTAAAGAAATACGGTATGATTAAGAAAAGTGCCTGAGAGCCTTCCATGAACACATTTCCTTTCAAAAGTAAAGATAAAAGGCAGTGTGAGATGTCTCATTAAGATGATGTCCAATTTAAAATACAAAGGATGTCTGATCACTTTCTTGCCACAAATGCAGCACAGGAGTGACTATGTCTGCATTTCAAACAAGTGCTTGAGGTTAGTTTTCCAGCAAATTATTTAGTACCTCTGTTACCACTGATCGTGGAAGCATATAAAGTTCCTATGCAGAATTATGATAGAACTGGTTACTCAGTTAACCCTACAAATACATGCACTTACACATGTACGTTAACAATCTCAGGACATTGTTATAGAGGATCACATGAAGTAACAGATACGGAAACATTTTGTGAACTCTGAAGTGATGTGTAAACACAAGGCATTTTAATGTTATGAGGTCTGTGCACTTTCAAAGCTCATAAGAACAGCGAAGTCTGTGTATGTTGTAACAAGTGTGACAGACCATTCTACATGGGCAAGATACAATGCAGCGCACATTGCCATCAGCAGAGCAGATGCTGGGAGTCAATTTAAAAAAAAACCAAACAACAGATTTATTTTTATGTTTGGTATATCTACAACGTATATGTGTTGACTAGGTGACCTAGGTGAAAAGACCTCATCAGTGCTGATGGAATATATTAAATACAACAGAAACTTAACCAGGAAACTATCAGCAAGGATGCTGTGGATTTGGGAACTTCAGCAGATGTGCCCAGTGGCAATGAAAGATCACAGTTTGGAATATAATATACAAAGATGGAATACTTCAAAGGTCAGACTAGAAACACTGGGAGGCGGGGGTGAGAGACCATCTACTTCTACCCTGTCATGTTATAGACAGGGAAACTCAGGAAAGTGCCTTGTCTCTTGCCCAAGGTTGCATAAACCTGCAAATTACTATATAGTTCAGATACTACAGATTTAGCTCTTGCGACAAATGTGGTTACATAAAATAAGAGAAAAGGCAAGACTCTTCATGTGTGAGCAGAGAACTCCAGGAGGGTCAAAGATCCTGTGCCTCTTTTCTGACTTTTATTTCGAATTGCTGTGATAGGCAGAAAAATGGGCCTCCAAAGGTGTCCATGTCTTAATCCCTGGAACCTGTGGCAAAGGGGAAATAAAGTTGCGAATGGAATTAAGGTTGCTAATCAGCTGACCTTAAAATAAGGAGATTATCCCGGATTATTTGGCTGGGCACAACAGAATCAAAGGTCCTTCAAAGTGGAAGATGGAGGAAGAAGCATAGAAAGTTAGAGATGTGACGAAGAGGGGCAACGTTGCTGCTTTGAAAGTGGAGGGAGGGGCCGAGGGCTTTCCTTATTAATTCCTTTGTGAGTGGCTTCTAAAAGATGGAAAGGGTAAGAAACTGGATTATATCATAGAGCTCCCCTGGAAAGGAACGCAGCCTTCTGACACCTTCATTTTAGCCCCTTTAGGACTTCTGAACTGCAGAACTATAAGGTAATAAACTTGTATCATTTTAAGCCACTAAGCTTGTAGTAATTTGGTGCAGGGTGATAGAAAACTAGTGTGATTGCCCAGCTTCCCTTAACCCCAGTATGTGCCACCTTTCTCAGATATTCTGCTTCTCTTTCACTCCAACTGAAAGATGAGGGAAGGCCAAGACCCTAAAAAGAGCTCATAAGAAGCGTTAGATTAGTGTTATTGTTAGATGTGTTGTCATTGTTGTTATTATTATTATTTTTCTTAACTTCAGCTGAGCCAGACTGAAATTCTCAAAAGGAACCTAATTTAAATGTAGAGAAATTATTATTATTACAAACATAAAATTATATTTGAGCTATCAAAGTACAATTCTTCTAGTTTATGTAGCTGGTAGGCCCTAATCACTATCCAGTGTGTCTGAACACCCTTTTCTAAGAAGACGCTCAGTCTCCCCTCACTGTCATTCTCTTGCACCCCTTCTCCACTATGCTGTTTTCATTTTGTCATCACGTGGTTTTTTGCTTGCTGGTTTATTTGTTGTACGTCTCCCCTTGCCCCTGCACTACTCCCAGCTCCTGTAAACAGATCGTAAGTTCCATTAAAGCAGAGACAGGGTAATATCCCGTCAAATGAGTGAATAAAATATGTCTTAAGATCCTACTCGAAGAATCTTTTAAATTCCTAGTCCTTTCTGCCACATGCTCTTATCATCTTCTCTCCTCCTTTCAACTCTTAAAATTGGCTTCTCCAACCTGGAGAACTTCTGGGGAATTCAAAGAATGATCAATGGGATTTGTAGCTTTTCTAGGTCCTCATCTGCCTAGAATAAAACAGCATTGGCTGAAGGCAACTCCCTCTTTATAGAGGGGAACACAGCCTCTTTCCTATGGCTATCCTCATCACCTGAAAAGTCTTCCTAATTTGATAAAGCATTCCATCTTTTTTTCAAAATATTATTGCCTCTGATTTACATCAAAGAAGGGTACCTATGAGCTGCCTCTCTGAAGTTTCCCAAGTACCTTTGGTTCTCTGTTGAAGCAAGGATGCTCATCAGTGGTTCAGTCATGCTCGTCGATTAGTTCCTATGGCTGTCGTTTCTCCGTCTTCACTTTTACCTTCACCTCCTTTCTCATCCCCATCCCTACGCCCACACAAACTCCTGTCAGGTGATGCTCATTGACTCTTTTAACCCAGTAAATTAGCTGAGGTTGGATTGACTTTTCCTTCACAGAAACCCAAAAGCACAAGCAAGGCAATGCTCAGTGACTAAGCCTTCTTAGGACTGGCGCTTGCCTCTCTGACAGGCCCCTGCCCCTGAAGTGAAATCTCATATTCTTGGACACTTTTTCACTATCCTTTGATATGACTGAATACAGAAATATATATAAGAGTCCAACTATGTTCAAATAAGAGATTTGCTCACTTGCCAAGCTATGCCACCCTCCACACTAATTTTTTTCTTTTAGAATGAAAATAAAATTTTTTTTAAATCAAAATGTTATTTAAGTTAAAATTGGTTTGGACTTATTATTATAACATAAATTAAGTATTTTTTAAGTTTCTCAGTTTTAGTTTTACTGTGGTGAATATTAGTAGATATAACCCACTCAAACCTACACGTTTTAGGGTCCTCAGTAGTCATTACAAGTGTAAGTTTGAGAAGCTCTGAACATATATTTTAATATTTTTATGAGAACAAAGATGACAAAAATTATAGTTTTATCTTAGTATTTGAATGGCACTTTTTAAAGCACATCCTAATGTTAATCCATTTCATGAAGAGCCCAGGAGCACATGTTACTTGATAACCAGTTCAATGCTGTTCCTGTGTGACATGGTATAACACAGACGGCTCAAGACCAACTCAGTAATTTAATAATACAGGGTCACAAGGCGAACTCTTACCTAATCAGTGAACGACTGTTGATTTTGATTACTTGGATGAATACAACATGGATGAATTGAAATATGTTTTAATTTTAATTTGGGCTATAACTAAATGTGAAAGTTTAAGTATATTCTGTTCCCAATCCCAAAAGATCTGAATATTTCTGGAGAAGGCTGTCTGGGAGATCTTGGCAGTGCCTCTGTCTACAGAATTTAGTGCGGCAACACCACAGCTCAACTATGGATTTCATGTTACCTGACAAAATACGTGTCAAGACTGCACAGATTTGATGGAAAGTCCTATTTCCAAGCCCTGAGGTGGAAAGACCAGAGTCTATCTTGTCTTTGAGTTTTCAACTTAAAAATGAGAAAGTAGAAAGGTGCCAGTGTGCTTGGAGTCATAGTAAAAATGTGATTTCAGATATGACACTCTTGGCGGTGGTCCCCTGCCTTGCCTGTCTTCACAAGGTCTTAGCTTCTGTGGGAAGAGCATGGAGTTAGGCAGCAACTCTCTCATGAGCACTTGTGGCTTCTCAGTTCAGTGTTGGGGCAGTTGTGTACAAGTTCAGTTTTCTATCTTTTAGGCATTTGTAACAGTACAGAACAGCAGAAATGTTTTGTTTTGTTTTGTTTTCCTGAGCTTCACAATAGCAGGGTCCATAATTTTATGGAATGGGATACCTCAGAGACCACTCATTGTATTAGCCCCAAGGATAATTTGCTGAAATAAAGCAGAGGGGGAAAAATCAGATCAACTACGTACATTGCTTTCAGCTACTAAATCCTTTAGCAATGAAGTAAAACATTACATACGGAAAAGAGAAAAGCCCACCTCAGTATATCTATTATTTTTATTTTAAAGGAGGAAGGGCAGTGAGAGAGGAAACTCAACACTGGGGGTTTAATTGGCTGGCAGGGGCCTCATGTCCCTGCTCACGGCCTCTGAGCCTCACACTTGGCACATCTCATTTAATGTTAGTATATTTTAAAATGCCACTGAGTTTATGTGTAGCACCAAATGATGCACCATAATAAAGATGCACAAAGGTTAAATTAATTTGACCAAAGAAACTGGAAGCAGAATTAGCTTGCAGGTTTTGTTTGGGCATCTGCTTTTCCTAGAGGAATTAGGATTCTTTGTTGTAGTTCTTTCCTATTTGACAGATAGGTTTTGCTTAAAATAGACCCTCGTATTCTATTCCTGTTATGAATCATAGTATAATAGATTATTTTGTTATAATTTTATTTCATTAATAAAATTGATTAAAAATATGCAACATCTAATTAAGACATAAGCCTATATAATCTGGAAAGGATGACTTTTTAAAAATCATCTTATAAAATTACAAGGCCAGTCCCTTTCTTTGGACAACAAATCAACAGCATCCCACCTCTTCTGTTGGTTAAAAATAGCTAAAACTCTTTGTTACATCTTAGGAATACAGAGTCTGTCCAGAAAAAGTCCAGCCATTATTAATATAACTAGAACAGTTTGTGCAACATGGATGTAACCTGGCAGCCAAAGAGAGTGGACTGGAATGCACATGCATGAACAATAATGACTTCACTGTGTAGTCAGTAGGGGTGGTAGATGCAGTTGCGTGAGCATGTGTACTGTGTGGCTGTCACATTCAAAATGACTGAACGAGTAGACCGAAGAATCTGTATCAAATTTTGCATTATGCTTGAACATTCCTCCATGGAAACTATTCCGATGATTCAGAGGGCCGCAGCTATGGGCAACTGGTGATTGGCAGCTACATCACAGCAACACCCCTGCTCATGCATCACTTCTGGCAAGACATCAAATCACCCAGGTGACTCAGCGCCCCCAATGCCCAGATTTGGCAACCTACGACTTCTGGCTTTTCCCAAAACTAAAATCACCTCTGAAAGGGAAGATATTTCAGACCATAAATGAGATTCAGGAAAATACGACGGGGCAGCTGATGGCGATTGGGAGAACTGTGTGATGTTCCAAGGTGCCTACTTTGAAAGGGCTGAGGCGTCATTGACCTATGTACAATGTTTCTTGTATCTTGTATTTTCCTCAATAAATGTCTCTATTTTTCATATTATGTGGCTGGATACCTTCTGGGCAGATCTTGTATTACACAATTACAGGGTCCGGCAGAAGTAACACCACTGAGTGTGGTTGGTAGGGTATGTTAACGTCTTACACAAGATGGGCAGCAATTTGAACATTTCATCTGAAATGTCATATGGTGTGCTTGAGTGTGATATTGTTATGTTACAGGATTACATGCTTATGATTTTGTAATAAAAGATTTTTTACTTAATAGAAGAGGGGTGTTATTTGTGCTGGACTCTGCATATAACAGTCGATTGTATTTCATTACTCCTCCTTTCAAAGAGGTTAATCCACAATGTGTAATTGTCTTTATGATCGTATCATCAAGTCATAGATTTTAAATATGTGATAAATATTTGGTGGTCAAAAATGTTACTGAAAGGCCATCCTTTTGGTGATTGCAGGTTTGGAGAATGCAATTATTCCTGTGGGTGCAAAACTATATAAACAAGTAACCAAATTCCCACAACTGCAATATATTGAATATTATGCAGATATCAGCTACTAAACTTTCATTTTTAGGGTTCAAACAAATTAGTGCAGCTCCCAGTTGGTGTAATAATTTCTAGGGCTAACTCCACACTAGGACTGATTTCAAATTTCCTATGGAAAGAAAGAAAGAGGACAAGTATTAAGTGCCTACCTGAACTTTATACTCCTACCAACAGATTTTGATTATTGAATCCCCCTTAACTCTGGAAACAGAATTACTATATTGAATAGGCTAGGAAGCATATATTTTTGTGAATTGTGTAGGTTAATCCTTGCTGCAGAACAAAGTAGCCGTGTTGTGGCTAGCTGAAATTTTCAAGTGTTCCCAAGTGGTACACAAGAAAAAGGCACACCATAACCATTTCTTTTTAAAGGTACAGTTTGAGAATTATGTCTGTGGGATAGGTATGAGATGACAGTTTAATGTTATTCAAAATTAATTTAATGTCCACAAGCCATTTTGTAAAACCTAAAGTATAGGTTGTAGAAACAAATACTATTTTTTTATCAGATCTTAAGTATAACTCTCTTGTGATAATGTGTAATTGGATTTTTAAATGCTTAGTTGACAAAAATACCTGTGCTTGTTCTTTTCTCTAGAAAAAGACACGACTAGCAATTTTTCTTTAAAATGAGTTATTATGTTAATAAACAAAAATTACTGCAATAGGGAAGATTTTCCAGTTTATTATATATTTATTTAAACAATCTAGAAGAAAACTAGTTTTAATATCAAATTTAAAATAATGCTTTCTAATAGTTTTTGACCAGGTTATTTTTCTACTTAATTTGTATTCAGCAGGCCGTTCTGAAATTTTAGGATATTTTTATTTAAAACTATTCTTCATTATCCAGTTTAGATTACTGACCATTCTTTTCATAATTTTACATCTTCAGAGGCTCCTTTCTATCAGGCTTCTCTACAGGGCTGATTGCATTGGGGTTTTGAAGAGTTAGAGGTAGGGGAAGAGGAGAGAGGAAGTTTCTGGAAATTGTGTCTACCTCTGTGCTTGTCAACATCGCAAAGGTGGCAGTGGAGCGGGGGGAGGGGGGTCTTATTTCCATTTCTAGTTTTGAAAAAAAACAGAGAATGCAAAACAATATTTCACACATGATATCACGTCAGGTCCACAATTCATTGCAGAAGCAAAAGGCTCTTGCACCTTATTCTGAGGATGTGAGTTGGTTAATTGGGTCTGCAATTAGCCTCTCTGGTTGCAATCAATTGCAAGTGCAATTTCTGAGTGTGAACTAATTTTGTGTGCGAAAGTAGTCCCACCAAAACAAAAGTCTAAGTTAGAATGAAATTCAGATCTGTTTTGCCTCATATCCTAAAAAGGAACTAATTTCTTCCATCAGCCATAAAGACCAAAAGTAAAAGTCCCTGTATAATTCTAAGAATTTTAAAACTTTTCTATACATACTTAGATGTAAATACTTGAGAATCTAAGTTTGCCTTATTTTATTACTGTGAATATTTTACTAATTTAGAATAAAATCTTACTCATATTTATATAATAATTTTAATTACTTTTGCTTTTAATATAATATATATTGTGTTACGGTTCTATACTACACATAAGTACACAAACATGTATACTCACACAGGAGCATAAATAAATTGCAATCCTGAGTTCTATTTCAATAGATCACGTAATGCATTGCTGTACTTAAAAGGCCTTAACAAAGAGCTGATATGTAATAATGAAGATTCTATGAATTTCACTTGCTTATTAAGACCCTACCAAGTCAGCCTAGGAGATCTGGCCTCACCAAAAAAAATTTAACACGCTAGTTAGATAAAAAGGAAAACAAAACCAACAAGCCAGCAAACAAATCCCAAACATTTGGACAGCAGTTCACGTTTTAAGAGAACTTCCAACGCCAATTTCTGAGATTCCCCTTGTCATTTTGGCATACCTATTTTACCACCGTGGTGTAGACAACAGCTTTTAAGTTCCCCAATTCATAAATGTAATTAAATAATTACATTAGTGCTAATTAACATGAAACTGCAGATTATTTAAGCGCAAAAAAACACTATTCAACTTCTTAATTATTCTTGTTCACACAGCATTTCCTTTTGCTCAGGCGCCCTAGGTGCAAATAAAGCATCCCATCTGCTCGTAATTAGAACTAAATAATTTCAGAGAATGTAGCTTATCATTTTGACTGCACATTTGATTAAAAACAGTGTACCAGCAATATCCTGGCTTATCGGCATAACAGCAACAACACACACAAGCCTGTGTTCCTCTATCATTAAAGAAGATAGAAAACATTATCTGTTATTTCAGGGGGAAAAATACAACTTTTTAGTTCATTTCATACAGATGAAAGCGAATTACAGCAAATCACCTCTCCACTGAATAGCAGCCCCCACATAATGACTTTATTTGCTTAATCCCCAAATTAAACGCCGTTTCGAGCGAGGGCCCTGTGTTATTACTCTCATCATGTCGAGAACATTTTCCTGCCGAGACCAATTTGAATAAAACAAGGGGCCTTCCTTGAACTCAATCAAGGAGCCATAATGCGGTGGGTAATAGAGGTTGCTGATAGATTTGCAGGCAAAAGTGTTATACCTAATGATGGGATATGGATAATGGTCCTCCTGGAGGTCCTGATGCGATTCCATTTGGCTGCCAGATGCTAAAAATCAAGAAGAGCATTGATCAGTGACAGGAAGCCGTAGTGGATTCATCTAGTCAAACTTCAGCTGTTTTTCCACTGTACAGTTAAGCCAGGCATAAATTATATTAATTGATTTAATTACATACTTAAAACATCTTCCCCAATTAATTTAATTAGGTGGCTACATGATGCTACTGGCAGGGGAAGATTAGAGGCAGCTCACTTAATTAACAGAATATGAATGAAAAAAAGAGAAAGCAAACATAAATGAAATTGTGAGCACTAATTAAAAGGCTGTCTGCAAACTTAAATACTTTCTGACAAAGTGGTGACAGCAATGTAGACAAGACAGGATTTTTTTTCCTAGCAAATTAAAGTGCCAGGAGGTATATATAGGGAGAAAAGTTAATGCAGTTACACCATTGATTTTCTGACAGAACTACCATAGTCCAAGTGAAGGGACTTTTTTTCCTGTAGAAAAATTGCAACAGATTTTGCAGATTCCTGATTAGGGTTAAAATATGATGTATGGTATGAACAAATGCAGTGTTTGTGCATCACACAAGGAGGAGAGTGGAAGGCGAGGGGGGCTGAGGGGGAGGGCAGTTGGAGAGAGAAAGGGAAGATAAAGAGACAACTTATTGCAATTATTCAAGCAAAAAATGTTTAGGAAAAGAGGTCTGCCTTAACAGCTGGCAGCCTTGTGTACCTTGGCTCGAAGGCGAAAATTCTGCAGGTGTCTTTCACGTGATTCCTTCAGGATCTTCTTCATTCGGGTCTTATGGCAATGCAGGAGCCACGCGATGGCAATCACACCTGACGCCCACTTCTGCTGGCAAAATGTGAGGAAGGCTTTTCTTGCTTTGTAACCTTTCCACGTGGCTTGGATCTTTCTGACAGCCTTTAACTTTCCACCTTGGCCCTTGTACCTTTGCCCAGGGAGGTTTAACATCTTTTGGATGGCGACTGGGTTCTCTACCACTGAGAGAAGGTCGTCTTTGGTAAGTTTATTCTTCAGCTCAAACTCTGGAAGGAGGGCTACCAAATTGTTCCCTTTTATTTTGACTTCTGGAATTGCATAGTCCCTGAGAAACTTCTCGATGTGTTCTAAGAGAGAGAAGGTACTTCCCCAAGATGAACTAAAATGTGCCTTGAATGCTAAGAAGTCCAGGGCTGTCTTGTCTATGACGCCATTATAAATTAAAAAGTCATAATCCCACGGTGATTTTAGAGCTTTAGAAGGTGATGTGACTTTCATGGACTGCGGAAGAAAAATGTCACCAGAGATGAAATAGAATTATGATCTACTTCAAAGGAGTGGTCAAGGCATATGCTATCACATTATCATTTATTATTCATTGGTAGGAAAATATGGATCCTAGTTTTGGATTAAGACCTATATGTCAGATATGAAAGTCTGGCCAGTATATATCATAAAACTGATTATCAAAAGAATATCTTAGAGGTTGCTCAAAGCTATTATCACTTTTATAAAAGTGTTATTTCATTGCTCTGGGAAACTGATCATATAAAAGTTGTGCATTTAGTTCACTTTGATATGGTCAACTGACCCCATAATCATGGTGATTTACCTTTTACATACGCATGAATGAAAGCAAGTCACTGCCTTCTTGTTCATCAGTTATCCACCGACCCCGAAAAACAGGGTTAAGCTTTTCTTTGTACTCTTTGTGATAACTTCAAATATTCTCATGAGAGCTCTCCTGTCTATTCTGACATTCTAACAGGTCATCACTTTCTAGTGCTTGGAAGTTCTGCCACCTCTTCATACCCAGAAGTGATTTTACAAGAAGCATTGTGTTGTATGTTATCGCCATCGCCACTGTCTAGATTTCTCTTGACATACGTTTTTATTCTTAAATAGTGTGTCTTCCTAGGGACATATCTGGAGCTGTCCCCAGGTAGAATCTGATATTACATAACAAATAAAATCACAGAAGCATTTGCTTTTCATTTTGTTTCTATCTGTACTGATTGAATTTTTTAAACTGATTTGAGAAAGAGAGAGACATAGATTCTTTTATTGTTCCACTATTCATTCATTGGTTGCCTCTTGTATGTGCCCTGCTGGGGATCAAACCCACAACCTTGGCGTATTGGGATGACACTCTAACCAACTAAGCTGCCTGGCCAGACTGTACTGATTGAATTTTTAAGTCATGAAAAATACTACTTTTGTTTTTATATGTTAAGATAGGTTCTCTAAGAATGGGATGATGGTCAGCTTTTTCTTCTTTATACTTTTCTGTATTAAAAAAACTGAACAAATTTTATTTTAAAAAATAAAACCAGAAGGGGTTTGGATACAACAGCAATATATGTTACACACACCACTTTAAAAAAAGAAAAAAAAAGGAAAAGAAAATTTTGTGTCCACATCCACTAGGAAACCTCTACCTTTCATTCCTGAAACCTGTTGCACTAGGGAAAGACCCCCTGCCACAGAGGTTCCTAACAGCCTGGTGAGGGGGCGGGCACGAAAGGGGACATAGATGTCTCAGGCCCTGCCTTCTCCTCGGTGAGCCAGGTATCAACTCACTACACTGATTGCTTCTTGCTTAGGGACTTAAGGAACAGATTGTCTTCAATATGCCAATGTTTTCAGATGTAAAAGCCCATCTTTACCAAAATATAAGATCATGCTGCTGTCTTTATTTTGAAGAGTTTTCACAGAGCTCAAAGAAAAAAAAAGGACTCAATTATGTATCAACAACTATTATGCCACAGCTCTGCATTGAGCATCATTATATTAGAGATTGTTCATGTTTTGTCTTTATTAAACAAATGTTGATTGATATTAACAAACAAATTCAAAGCAGAAAGCTATCGAACAGAAAAGCAAGCCAAGAGATGTATTCACAATAGAAGCACAATAAGCAAATAGGAAATTTTTTTTAAAACTTCACACTCTTTTTCTTTTCTTAAGTTCTAGGCAGTGGAATTAATTTAACTGCCATCTCAAGTAAAAAAATACCAAAAAGCAAGCATTAAGTCCAAGAGGTAATCTCCTTGAACTTTAGAAGTGGACTTTAAATAGCAGCGAGCTCTTTGTATTTTAAGAGTTGTTATAGGCATAAGAGCAATGGAAAAAAGCCTTCTCGCTAAGATGCTAACCCTTTTCAGATATAATCAAGGTGCCAAAAGGGAACACAAACTGTTTGACAAATGGAAATAAATCCCTTCTTTTTGGATGGGCAAGAGAGATTTAGAGAAGTAATGTCTCCTTCAGCAGACACCAGCGTTGGCAGAAGGAGCTGCAGCTCCTGGTAGAAGACAAGTGGCACATGCTCCCACAGAAATGGCCCGTGGCTACACTTCCGCCTTCCTTCAGGAATGGGTTCTGATGATGGAAAGGTTAGAATTCAGAGAAGAATGACAGTGCTTCATCAGTGAGAAACAGACATGCAAAATAATCACAGATGGCCAGGCATGGAGCCGGCTGGTCCTGCCAGTAGTCCCCTGTTTGATTCTGTCAACAAGACCCCGAGATTCCCCCAAGGAGCACAACTGTGGGCTATGGACGGAAGATGTACCAGAGACTCGGGGCTCCTGGTAAATGTTAAAATATTTTGAAATTTCTTATCTTTTCAGAGGGCCATACCGGATGGACTTGGGACCATCCTTGAAAATGGAGCAACCTGGGGAGAAGTTTAAGAAAGGAGAGGACCCTTACGTCTCTCTGGGACAGTGCTTTTCCCTGGAGTGGGTCTAGGGCATTTACCTACACCAGCAAATGTGCATTAGACCTTTATAAAGAATAACTGTGGGATGACAACAGGGTTACGGAATTTAACAGTGGCTCTTTGAGAACAAAGGGATTACACCTCCCTACCTTCTTGGATGATATTCTAGTAAAGACCTGTTCTCAAAGGAAACACACTCTTGGACATCAAATAGACCACTCAGGCACGGGGAAGCTATGGGTTTGGAGTCAGCTAAAGCATAACTGTAGTACATCTGTCACAGAGAATGCCACACTTGGGAGCACTTTAGACTTAGAGCAAGAAAAGACATGTCTCTCAAGAGAAAGGCTTCCCAAATTAAAGCAGTGCATCAGCATTGTGAGATCCATCGAGCAGGTAGAGACAAAGCTGTTTCACAGCCTGCTAGGAATAAGAGCCCTGATTAAAGGTCATGCCATGCTTCAAGTTTTGGTTCCTTCTGTTATTCTTCCCTTACCATTTATCTCCATGAACTTGTCTACAATTATTTCCTCCCTTCTATCCTTCCTTCCTTCCTTCCCTGTTCCTTCCTTCCCCCTCCCTCCCTCTTTCCCTCTTCGCTCTTCTCCTTCCTTCCCTTAGTTTACTTCTCTTTTTTTTCCTCTCCTACCCTCCCTTCTGTTTTGGTGTAAGATGTGCCGTACTCTCAATGTAATGTCACTTACTCAATAGCCACGTTTCCTTCTGGTGGGGTTGGCTCTCTGGCCCACACAGAACCCAAACCTGTAGCCATGGCCTAATTACTAGTATTCTGCTCTAACAGCGCCAACTGGCTGGGAAATGCTCTTCATTTGCAAGGTGTATTCACTAATGGGGTAACTTTGAGAGTTTCTGGAGCAGTTATTTAGGGAAAATTCCAAATAAAAAACCAATAGCAGGAAGCAGGATGATGACTACATGTGTCAGTAAGTCACAAATGTGAAGCAAAAAAAAAAAAAAAACAGGCCCAGTATGACGTTCTAAACTTTAGAAATAAGTGCCACAAAGAAAAAAATCCAGCAAAAAATGGTATGTATTTCTAAACCGAATGTCTTTATGAAAAATGTCCTTTCTGTACATGTTGACAGCATGTGGATGCAGGATTAAACTGGAACCAAGGATCTCTAAGATGGATGTAACCAAGATCTCCTGATGGCAAATGGTCAAGTACTTGTGATAACCCAACATGGATAATAACTTTAGAGAATGATTTGCCTGGAAGGATAGACTAAATTATTGTACTTTTGAATCTATAAGCCGATGTTCAGTTTCTCAAATACCCAAACATATCCATCAGTAATTAGCCTAGGCAATTCCATTGTGTAAAAAAAGAAAGTTCCTCCTGCCCTCATGGCTCTCAGTGAGAGCCTAGCTCAGAGTCCGAGGGGAGTGACCCTCAGAGATGAGTCTCCATTGTTCTCTGAAGATCAGGGACACCATCCGTCAGGGCTGCTCCTTAATATTTGCTGAGGGTCCACAATGTGTTAAACTTTGTACAGAACAGATATCAAGACCCCAGCTTGCTAAAATGTTAGAAAGTTATTCACGATATTTAGAGAGATTAGTTGACTAAACAGGATTCAGGGACTCAGCATAATCGCAGTCCTGACTTTCAAAGCCTGAGGGACCCCGAAGGTCCCTGGCCTCGCCTTTGCCTCGAAAGGCTGCTACGGACCCAGGGAATGAGCCTTGACCCCGAAGTCTGATTAACCTGAAATCAAGTCCATGCTCTCCGTCTGTTCTGTACTCTTGGACAAATTACAGTCTGCTGTGGCCTGAATGTTTGTGTCCACACAAAATTCTTATGTTGAAGCCCTAGTCCTCAGTGTGATTGTATTTGGAGGTGAGGACTTTGAGAGGTAATTAGTCCATAAAGCTGGAGGCTCCATGATAAGATTAGTGTCCTTATAAGAAGAGACAAAAGAGAGATGATCTCTCTCTACCATGTGAACACAGCAAGAAGGTGGCCTTTTGCAAGCCATGAAGAGGACTCTCATCACAACTAGCCTCCAGGACTGTGGGAAATAAATGGGGTGTAGGCTACCCAGTCTATGGTCGTTTGTTATGGCAGCCCGAGCTGATTAAGACAGCGTCCTCTCTGAACCTAAATGTTTCTCATCTGTAAAAATGAAAGGTCCCTATCGAGTTGCTGTGATGATCATAGTATGTGTGAAGAAGCTTCCACATTGTCACATCTCAGCCTATATGGGTATTACCATAGATGAGGAAACTGAGGCTCAGAGAGGTTAAGTGAGTTGTCCAAGATCACAGAGCTAGCTGCCATTCCCTACTTCCATACCACCAATGCCCACAGCCCTAATTGTCCAGAACTTTCCAGGTGGCCCGTTACTACCTCTGCTCTCCTTGCTCAGCCCTCTTTTTACCCTTTCTACATCAGAGTGAACCTGGTCTTTACCTGTTGTTCCTTTCTTACTTGCAAAGCAATCTGTTAAACTAACCCCTATGAATGTGCTAATGAACCATGTGTGCTGGAAAAGTGATGGATTTGAAGTGAGAAGACCTGGCCCCTAGTCTG